CTCCTTTGTATTAAAAAAATCAGGAAATATTAAAGTAAGAAATCAGGAATTAAATAAGATGTTGTGATCAGGAGGGTTTGTATTAAAAAAATCAGGAAATATTAAGGTAAGAAATCAGGAATTAAATAATATGTTGTGATCAGGAAAGTAAAAAAAGTCCATTACAAGGAAGATCCTTGCCAAGATCCTAATGAACTGCCTCTTTCCTCTTACCAAGGAACTTCTCTCTGAATCACAGGGTGGCTTCAGGTCATCCCAACACACAACTAGAATGATCTTCATGGCACAACAGATTCAGCAGAAGTGCAGAGAGCAATACCAGGAACTGTTCCTGGGATTTGTTGACCTGCTCATGGCCTTATGGAAGGTGCTGTGTAGGTTTGGCTGTCCATAGAAATTCATTTCCATTTTCAGACTACTCCATGATGGGATGACTGACAGCATTCTGAGCAATGGCTAAGAAAGCAGGGCTGTGTCATTGCTCCATCACTTTTCTCCATATTCCTTCCCATGATCTTGAGCGTCATTTGAGACCATCTTCCTGATAGAATTGGGACTGAGTATTGTACAGATGGCCAATTCCTCAATCTGCAGTGTTTTCAAACAAAGTCTAAGATTGCAAGAACTGGCATCACTGACCGTCAGCATGCAGATGATTGTGTCATCCTGGCACACACACAGAGGCCAACCTGCAAAGTGCTCTAAATCTTTTTGCAGGTGCCTATCACAATCTGGTTCTCTTTCTCAACTTTGGGAAAACCAAGGCACTCTAACAACCTTTACCTGCCCAATCTGCTCTTCGTACTCCACAAATCGTCACCGGTGGAATAGACCTGAAAAATGTAAACCGTTTTCCACACCGTGGCAGTCACCTCTCCCAAACAACCAGCACTGGCAACAGGAATCAAATGAATGATCCACTGTGCCAGAATATCCTTTGGAAGACATCCAACCAGCACTGGCAACAGGAATCAAATATTTGCAACTATGGGGAGCAACAAGTAACCTGTGCCAGAATATCCTTTGGAAGACTTCTCAAATGAGTCTTCAACGATAGGGATCTGCAAACAAGCACCAAAATTTTGGTTTACATAGCAGTTGTCATCCCCACTTTTTTTTATGAGTGTGAGATCAGGGTGATCTTCATATGACATCACAAGCAGCTGAAGTGGGTACAGAGCACTGTCTTAGGAGAATTCTCAGGATCAGCTGGGAAGAATAGTACTCTAACAGCATTCTCTCTGCAACCAACATCAGCAAGGCAGAAGTATGGGTTATGAAACATTATCTCCACTGGGCTGGCCACTCGGTATATACTCCTGAAACTTGCTTTCCGAAGCAAGTATTCTTCTCTCAATTAAATCAGGGAAGGAGGGCTCCTGGGAGGGAGAAGGGGCAGCAGAGGATGTGTTTCAAGGACATACTGAAAGAACAACTTAAAAAAGGAGGCATCAGCCTAACAAACTGGGAGGACTTGGCATAGAACAGAACATGGTGATAAGCCCACTTTGAGAACAGATATGCTCATGAGACAGAGAAGTGACAGAGGAGGAAATAAAGGGCATAGCACTCCAGCCAACAACTATTGTCTCCCCCAAAATTACATCTGTTTCTTTTCTGGTAACATCTGTGGGGCACGAATTGTACTCCTCAGCCACCTAAAAACCCAGCAATGCACTACTTTGGGAGGTATCATCCTCTAATTGAGAAACAGATGAAGAAGAAGGCGGGGGCAATGTGTAGGTGGGGAGGAAGGGTCACATGCTCCCAAATGTCAAAGGTGGGAGGGACCAGCCAATAGAGCTTTTCAGTATATTTGGAGTTTTATGTAGTGTCCAGAAATTGGCCCAATAAAAGAGATCACCTCACCCATCTTCTCTTTCCAAAACCGAATAAAAGAGATCACCTCACCCATCTTCTCTTTGTAATAAACTTGGACCAAAACCACTACAAACCACTCACATCTTATGATAAGTTCTTCCAACTGTACTTAATGACCCTACTGTTAAAAAAATGGTGCCTTATTATTGTCCAGGGTTCTCAAACTCCAGACCTGCAGGCCATCCTTGGTGCAGTGATTGCATAATCTGGCCAGGGACAGACGGGGAGGAGGTGCTGTCCATTATCGCCCATTAACATCCATTATCACTCCCAAGCTCCACCCCTTCTTGCCATCACCCTGGTCCTCTTCTCCTATGTCATCCGGTTCTCCAGGACAAAGACAAAGGCAAATGCACTAGCTCTGCCGTGCTCCACTGTATTCCATCTCCCTGCTGAGCTCCATTTCCTTGTAGCCCCTGTATCACAAAATACAGTAGCTTTATTGATTTTGCACTATTTGTAAAGACAAATTATAGAATCTTGCAAAGTCTCTGATATTTCCAGAACTGTCTGTAAAAGAAGGAATTGTGCACTTGTTTGTAAAATTCAATTCACTGCTTGTTCATTGACTGGATTTTTGTTAGTAATTTTGTAGAATTTAATTTGAGTGCATGTTATTGATTCTTGATGGTATCCAATACTTTGTGACTGCATTATGGAAATCACCAGGAATAGCCAGGTATGAGTCTTTGGGTGTTGAGAAGTACTACCAGCCTCAACCAAACTGAATAAAGCAGCTGCTTTTTTATCACCAAATTTATTTTCAGTCTCATCAAATATGTACCTTATTCTGGATTTCCAGACTAAAATCGAGAAATAAGGTGGTATGGGGTGGGATACAACAGATTTGCTGGTTTTTCTCTTGCAATAGAGTCAGTTTCAGTGCACGGGAGCTTGGAAATTATCGAGATGGGGTGGGATACAACAGATTTGCTGGCTTTTCTCTTGCAATAGAGTCATTTCAGTGCACAGGAGCTTGGAAATTATCGAAAGCTGTGCCCCCTACGTGGCAGGGACCACCACCCTGCGCACACACATTCCATACCCCCGAGCAGGCCCTGCTGTGAACCCTGAAAATGAAGTAGAGGAGGGTGGGGGGCAGGTGACTGGGAAGTCCAGCAGTGCCTCTTTGAGATGCCACCGGTCTCTCCCAGCAGCTGCGCACAGGTGGGCCTGGTGCAGAGGAAGGAATCTCAGGTAAGTGTGGAACTGTATTTCCCACGACTGTGACTTACTGATGGCTCCTCCGACTTACCAGGGCCCAGCTGCCGACTGTTCGTTAATTTCCTCGTACTGGGGAGGCGGTGATACCCCGAGGAGAGGGAGCGTTGTTGTCTGCTCTTCGGCCTCCTGCAGAGTTGGGGGGACCTGTTGGTTTGTGTGCACAGGGATATCCCTTGGATCTTCCTGGAGAGACTGCCATGCAATGTCCACCGAGGTCAGGCCTGCTGATGGGCGATATGGCGGAGGGGGGGCAAAGAGGCCTGGCAATTCAAAAGGGCCTGGGACTCTCAGCCACTACTGTGGCAGCAGCCGGAGCTCCGGGCCCTTTTGTGTCATGGGGCCCCAGGGCAGTTGTTCTCTCCCCCATCGCCCCTCAGTGATGGGCCTGACTGCATCTTTCTTCTTAGAGATTTTCCCTTCCCATTACTTTCTCTGATGGCTTGCTTTATGGCTTCCAATCAGAGGGCTTCAGTTCCATCTTGTATGTGAGTTCACCCAAACTTTTTCCCCTTCTGGGCTTCCAACCTCACAAAGTATATTAGCTTTTGCTGCCATCTTGGAGGAGACTATTAAAGTTGGCTTGAACCTCTTGATGTGGACAGACTTATGCTACTGTTTCCCAAGTTCTTTGTAGCTCTATTTGCAGGATTCTGCTTTTATGTAGGACTCCCCCCCCCCCCCCCGACTTGACATCTGCTCAGCATGAGTCCATAAGAAATCAGTCAGAAATCCCTCAGCTGAACCTTCACCCCTACATTACAAAAACATACTTGCATGTACAGAATAAATCCTATTCAATTTAGTCAAATGAAACTCCCATTCGTGTCAATGAAATGAGCAAGATTTGATCTTTAAAATGGAAAGGGTATAATTTTTATTTTTGTGCTTGGAGAAATATACATGTTGGCTCTCCTCACATCAGGAAGACAGGATCTCTGAGTCAAACATTTATTATGAAGCTACTGTTCTGTGCAGTTTAGTCTACTTTGTATGCTTTATTTTCAGAATTCTTATGAAAGCTTTGCTATGTATGGTCATGTAGGTCTTTTGCTTCTTGAATAATGCCAGTGATATATGTTATTCTTCTTGTATCATTTAAAAACCTGTGCACAACTGAATAGTCCAGTGACTCTGACACTGTTGTTGAATGTCTCTATCCCCCTGTTTGCTATGGAATCCAGTAATGGGTTTAATGTCTGTTTTTGTCATCTGATACTATTGTGTCATCTGATTCATTCTTGACTGATAACGGTAACTATGGAATCTCAGTAAGTCTTTTCCTTTTTTAAATTCCCTTTACTACTTGCCACCCTCATTTCATATCTGTACCACAGATAACTTAATATGTGCCACAGGAGATTTTTGTAGTGTTTTGCTTCTTTAGAAAGTACAATCCCAATTGCTATATTGTTTATTTGTACTAAATTTCAATGAAGAACTTTACAAAATGATTTCATCAATGTAAGTGCAAGGAATAGCTGCTAATCTAAATCCAACTTGTTGTTGTATGGGTGAGTCTGCTATATCATAAATGGTCTACTGCAGGACTGGTCAACAAAATGGCGGTGGTTCACCAGGGTTAGCCCCCGGTGGGGCACCACCCCTATATTTACCTGCACCAGGTACGGGTAATCGCAGCTCTTATTGGCCATGATCTGTGGCCAACAGGAGCTGTGATTCCCCTGTACTTGTTGAGGCAGAAGTAAATGCAGTGGTGTGAGGGGTCCACCACGTGCTAACCTTGGCAGACTGGATCTGGCCAGTGGACCAGTATTTGTCCACCCTTGCTATACTGACTTTGCATGTTTTAAGTAGTATGCCCGCTCTGGAAATATTTTCCTTTTTAATTTTTCATTTACTAAATTTGCTATTTGCTCTCTTTTATTCATTCTCAGATGGAAACTACAGAGAGCACCGATCGAACCTGACCCCACTGATAGTGCAACCGATATCGGCACTGCTAGTAAAACAACTTGTTGGTTTACCTGAGGACAGAAGCAAAAGTGATGGGTGTATCCCTCTCAAACTACCGGTGACAGGTGATGATAGTTTCTGTTAATTATCAAATGGTTTATAAGCACTTCAAATACATTCTGGTAATTGGGTATAATTGAAGGTTTGTCTGATTTCAGGTCTGTTCTGCTAGGAGCCTTTTATGAACAGGCTCTGAAAAACCCATAAATCACACACCGAAAATCTGCTAAGTTGAGGCTGAGTGAAAACAAAATGCCGTGAAGTACTATAAAAGAGTCATTTTTTTAAAAACAAGGCATTTTGCGCATTAGCTTCAGAAACCATATTCACATTGCTTCCAAGTTTTATCTTCAGCAATCACTGTATCTGCCAAGATTCAGTTTATATAAGTCACATTACAGGAGTCTCTTAGTACAAAGTATTAAACTCTAATTCCAGCTATTGACTAAAAAATCCCTCTGACTTTATGCATCATCACCCTGGAGATGTTGCTAATGATACAGTGTAGTTTGTTAGGCCTTGTTGGACAAGTGAGGATATGACTGACGCATTTAAAACAACCATATTAATGCTATGGGCAATATCATATTTCTGCCTCCAGCATGTATGTAATGTTTCTAAATGGTGATCCATCTTTTGTATTATGTAGTTCGCATCTGTTTACTACAAAATAAACATCAACATTCAGTCCTGTGTATTTGTGTCCTTATCTAAGGGCACCTTTTCCCATATGTTTCACCTCAAGGTTGCTGAATTCTGACAACGAAAGCAATAAAAAGGAATGTGTTGAGTAACACTGGAAAAGGGTGAATTAATTCAAAATGCTCTACAAAGACCATACCTTCACCAATGTCATGCAGATTATCGACTTAAAAATAACAAGATTATAAATCTTCCAGAAAGGATACTGCAGAGCAATTAAATGCAGGAATAAGCATAGAAAACTTTCCTGGAGAGCTCTATGTTTCAAACAGAAATACTCTCTTGATTTTTATTTTGGGTTAAGCTGATCTTTTATAAGAGGAAAACCAGAGTGGGGCCACATGTTGTCATGTCTCATCTCTTTAATCCTATATATTTGGGGTGGTGCTTGTGTTTGTGTGTAGGTGCTGTGTGTAGGTGTTGTGGCCATTGTTAGTAATGGGTTCTCTTGATTATTGAAAGATCAAATAGTGAATACCAAGCGAGTTGATTAAATCAGTTTGCCCAACTAAAGAAAACATTAGCACACTGAGGAGATGCAATTACGGATCCACTCTGCTCATACTGGACTAAAGTGGTTCAGAGTTTACAGTCTGTTATAGTCCCTTTGCATTAGCACACTGAGGAGATGCAATTACTGATCCACTCTGCTCATATTGGACTAAAGTGGTTCAGAGTTTATAGCCTGTTATAGTCCCTTTATTTATTTCTTATTCGAGTTTGTGGCTAAATATGTAATTCTTATTGTCTTATTATTGTCAAATGATGACCTTGTAATTGTCTGGGCAGTTACATTTAACACCAAATTTCCAGTGGCCAGCTGAGACAATAACATTTTTAATTAGTAACTTATTTTTCCTTTTATGCTTTTGAAAGATTTACTCCTTCTCATATTTTTTCTTATATTCTTATAACTTGTTCTTCAAGTAATTAGAGCTGATTACAAGCATATATACTTAAGTGGTTGCAAAAATATTTTGCCAAAATAGGTCATGACCTTTAGATATATATTTCAGTCTATAACAAGGTCTCTGTGTTAACATCCTCCCTTAAAATTTCCTTTGCTGAAAAATAACATTAGTACAGTCTTCTTTACAATATCTATAGGCGATAAAACAATTTCTATAGTATAAAGCAAACTTTAAATGCATTTTTAGGGGCAACCATTGCACAGTGTATGTGGTTATATCAGTTGTTTACCACTTTTAGAAAGTTATTGTGGAATAAGGATATAATAAAACAAGAACATAAAAAGGTTGGTTAAGTTTATGACCACTCTTAGCATTTGTAGTTACAAGTACTAAAAATGAGGGCAGTGAGACCTTATGCTTCCAGACATTAAGTGATTATGGCTGAGATTGAGAAGAAATATTTTCCTCTATGCAGACTTGACTTCGAGTTGCACTTCCCTATACCATGACTCTCTGTCATGGCAACAGCCGTGATTTTCTGGGAGTGTAGGGTTTGTCAGACTCTATGCCTAGGAAGAGCCCGGTGCTGAGGCATCAATACGTAACTTTGTTGGAATGGACTAAACACTTGAACTGGTGTGACCACAAATCCTATGTATCTATGTACTGTTTATATGTATTTAAAAATGTGCTTGTTTATTAGAAGATTGTATATTAGAATGATGCATATTAGAAGGTTGATACTTCAGACTTCCAGTTGATGCTAAGCAAGCATAAAACATATTTCACTTCTGATCTAGAGCTTAGCACTTAGATGTCAAAAGAGATGAATGAGCAATTCAGACAATTGGGTGGCTTAAAATTTGTTAAGATAAAATGCTCATCATTACTCTCAACAGTATGTTTAAAAAAGCTGAACAGCAGTTTCATTAGTAATGATTAAGAATTTATATATACAGTACAAACTTGTTATCTGGCATTCATGGGAAATGAGAATTGTCGGTTAATCAAATGTGCCGATTCCTTGAGCTTAACACTGATAGTTCATGAATTTTTCACCATATGTTAACCATAGTTGAAGGATGGGCTAGATAATATCCAATCATGGTATTAAATGAAGAAGCACAACATGAACCTATTTTACTGCTGCAAGTTTACAAACTTGACTTCCACAAGTGCCAGAAAATGTCAAAAAATTATGCTGGACGGCTATCAGAATTTGTCCAGTGACTGCTCATCTGAGGACATAGATTTTGTTCATAAAAGCTCACAATAGTATATATTATGACAGAGCAGGGTGATACCGCAGGTTAAAGAGCTTGGTGGAAGGGGAAAGAGGCAGTTCTTGCAGAGAGAGTCAACAATCCTGGCTAATTAGAGGCAGCTAAGACAGGGCAACTGCAAAATCAATTAAGGCCCAGGTGAAACTAATTGGGGCTGCCTGGAGGCCTATTTAAGAACTCTCCCTGTGGGTGAGGGGGGAGAGAGATCGATGAGAAGGAATTTTGGAGGGGAATTGAGAAGGAGTTTGGAGAACTGATAAAGAGTTTTGGGAGCTGTGAAGGAGTTTTGGAGAGTGGAGGAGGAGTTTGAAGAGAGAAAGACACCGGAGGAGCCAAGAGAGCAACATCGACCTTGTTAAAGACTACAGGGAAACAACAAATCTCAAACCAAGAGAGATATGAGCACCCCCATGCTCCCTCAGACACTCCAATGGCTGCCACCACTTCAACTGCTCCCATGGCCTCCACTGCCCAAAGACACAACTCTGTAGGGAGGGAGGAGTCCAACCTCCAGGATCTCTGCACCAAGATCCACAATGCCAACATCTACAGCAGGATTGCTGTCACCCTGGCTGAGAAAAGGCACAGCAGGCCCCTCAAACAGTGTTGGCTAAAAATAAAAGAGCTGTGCCAGGCCTACCACAAGTCCGGGGAGCAGAGTGGATGCTCTGGGGCTGCACCACACACCTGCCACTACTTCAATCAACTGGATGTTATCCAGGGGTGGTTTACCTCTGCTGCCGCCATCATCGAGTCTGGCCAAGATATGCTTGGCATCAGTCTGCAGGAGGGCAGGATGGAGGAGGAGAATGACAACGAAATGGTAGAAGAGGAGAAGGCCAGCCAGGTGACCATGCCCACAAGTCAGGAGCTGCTCTTGACTTTGGAGCCAGTCCCTCCTCCCAGGGGGTGCTCACTCCTTTCTTGACCAACTCAGCCTGGGGGTGGTCACACAACACATTGTTCCACAGGGTCACTCGCTCCTTCTCACAAGGTTCCTGGAGAGGCCTGCCTTACTTCTGCCTCTGTAGTAAGACACCCTCCCATGCCAAGCCACCAGTAAGTAGTTTGGGGCCAATAGTAATAGAGAGGTAGCCGTGTTAGTCTCATCTTGCAAAAACAAAAGGAAAAACTTGGTAGTCTTTAAAGTGCTACATAGTTTTTCCTTTAGTTTGGGGCCAGAGAACCACACAGCAATGCCACACACAGCCCAGGGTCATTCCCACACACAGTCAGCATCTGCTTCCAGTCAAGCTCAGTGATGCAGAGGAGACTGATATCATGCATGGGAAACTTCCAGGAGGAGGAAGAAGAGAGGAACTCATTAGCACTCTATCTAGCAAGCGGTATCTGCTGCTGAAACACACCTTACATCAGGCAAGGATAGAAGTTCTCTCTCTGCAGGATGCTGCAAGTGCTGGACCCGGCATGTGCAGGGCACAGAGTGAAGCTGAGACGCCCGTTTCCCCCCTCCTGCCCACAGGGAGGCCTGGCCAGCACCTTTCCATGTCTGCTTGTCCACAGGCTGTGGGTGTTGCAATGCTCCCCTGGGATTGCACCTTCTGGCAAATGCCCGCTTTCTAGGAAACACATGGCCTTGTTCGAAGCACATCACTATTGTCTGAACCAAGACCTTTGGGGAATGTCTAGACTACATGACTCCATCAATGGAGCCATATAGATGAGTTTACTAGACATAGGAAAATGAAGTGGCGATTTAAATAATCGCTGCTTCATTTACATTAAAATGGCTGTCATGCTGTGCTGATCAGCTGTTTGGTGGCACAGTGGGGCAGTCTGGATGTGCCGTGGTTGACAAGGGAAGCCTTTGTCTACCACTCCGGTATGCCTTGTGCCCACGCTGTGCTGACAATCAGCTGATCTGGCACAGCACGGCAGTCTAGACGCGGTACGGTCGACAAGGGAAGCCTTTGTCTACCACTCCGGTATGCCTTGTGAAATGAGGTTTACCAGAGCGGTCGACAAAGGCTTCCCTTGTCGACTGCGGCACATCCAGACTGCCCCGCTGTGCCACCAAACAGCTGATTGGCACAGCGCAGTGGCCATTTTGATGTAAATGAAGTGGCGATTATTTAAATCGCCACTTCATTTTCCTATGTGTAGTAAACTCATCTACATGGCTCCGTTGATGGAGCCATGTAGTCTAGA